ATAATGACTGGCCTGGGAGCCTGAGTCCTGCGCCGCAGCTCCTTCCAGAAACCACATTTCACGGGCCGTGTGCCAGGTCTGTTGTACGGAGGGTGACTTTTCCCTGTGAGGCTCGGCAGGTGAGGGCTTTGCAATCGCCTACAGTCAGACCTAAAAAGCAGACTTTTTATTCATCTACACATCCCACTAACTGTTAAGACCTTGTGGAGATTCACTGTTAGCACTATAGAAGAAAATAGTTTTCACTTTGCTTTGGAAACTTCTCCAAATAGAACTTTAGAAGTGTGGGTTAAGTCTTAATCTTTATAGGCTAAAAAGCAAAGTCGGGGAGCAACTAAATAGGAAGCTGAAAACACCAAGTAGCACTAAGTTGCATATGTTTGTGTTCTTGGATGAAGAGGTCTCTTTTTAGAGCTTGGAGAAATCTGATACTTTTAGTATTTAGCACACATTGCCTGCCATTTAATGAGAAAAAGCTAATAAGGAGGAGGAAGAAAAGGGACACAACAAGAGGATTTGAAAATGGATTAGAAAAGCTGCATAGCAGTAATGTAAAGATAATGTAATAAATTATTTTGTTTATCTTAAGAGAAAAGAGAAAGAGCCATGCCATACTATATTAGATAGGTTTATTTCAAAGACAGCTGATAGAATACTTGAAAAGGTTAGTGTACCAACAAAAATAAATTTCAGATGAGTGCCCCTGAATGTCAGAAAGGTAGTGTAGAATTGTTTTCTTTCCTTTGGTAATAACTCTATGGGGTTGTCCAGGTGAAATTAATTAAACAACAGCTTCAATTGTTTATGTCACACTCTGGCTCTTGGCCACTTTGTAGTTGACTGATGGTCGGAGAATCATTCTTCCAGACATAATAATCCCACAGAATGAGAATAGCTGTAAATGCTTATTATATATGTATGTGTTTAATTATGGATCCCAACTCCAGTACCTCCATAGATGGGATCACTAAAACAGAGAACAAGAGAGCTTCTGGCTCCTGCTGAAGATGTGGGCCCTAGGAGTGAGGAGTCAAAAAGGCTGCCAGGGCATCATTTGAGGCAGGCCAATGCACATTTAAATGATAGCTATGTTCTCAGGGAATGGGGCCATGGAAAAGTCTGCAACAGCCAATGAAATTCCACCCCACTTTAAAGGACACTGCCATCTGCATCTGTTACCTGGTTGAGGGACTCTGGATTTGGGAAGATGTGTGTCTTCCCTGGGGAATTCTCTACTGGTAGATGTTACTAAGTTACAGAGAAAAGGCAACCAGAAATGCAGTGAGCTTGAGGGATTTTTAAAAATAATATTTCCATAGAAAATCAGGGATTACAAAATATGAATCAGTTTTTTTTTTTCATTGTACTTTAGATTCTGGTGTACATGTGCAGATCATGCAAGATTGTTGTCTAAGTACCTTCATGGCAAGTTGGTTTGTTGCCTCCATCCCCCCATAACCTATACCTGACATTTTTCCACACATTATCCCTCCCCACCCTCCCTCCCACTATCCCTCCCCTAGCCACCACCAACGGACCCCGGTGTGTGATACTCCTCTGTGTCAACGTGTTCTCATTGTTATACACCTGCCTATTAATGAGAACATGCAGTGTTTGATTTTCTGTTTTTGTGTCAGTTTGCTGAGAATGGTTTCCAGGTTCATCCATGTCTCTACAAAAGACACGAATGCATCATTTTTTATGGCTGCATAATATATCATGGTGTACCAGTGCCACATTTTCTTTCTCCAGTCTATCACTGATGGGCATTTTGGGTTGGTTCCAGGTCTTTGCTAATGTAAACAGTGCCATGATGAACATGCCTGTGCATGTGTCTTTATAATACAACAATTTATAGTCCTCTGGGTGTATACCCAGTAATGGGATTGCTGGGTCAAATGGAATTTCTATTTCTAGGTCCTTGAGGAATCGCCACACTGTCTTCCACAATGGTTGGACTCATTTACACTCCCACTGACAGTGTAAAAGTGTTCCTATTTCTCCACATCCTCTCCAGAATCAGTCTTCTACTGCTCAAGGAAATAAGAGAAGACTCAAACAGATGGAAAAACATTCCATGCTCATGGTTACGAAGAATCAATATCATGAAAATGGCCATGCTGCCCGAAGTAATTTATAGATTTAATGCTATCCCCATCAAACTACAAATGACCTTCTTCACAGAACTGGAAAAAAACACTTTAAACTTCATATGGAACCAAAAAAGAGCCCACATAGCCAAGTCAATCCAAGGCAAAAAGAACAAAGCTGGTGGCATCATGCTGCCAAACTTCAAGCTACACTACAAGGCAACAGTAATCAAAACAGCATGGTACTGGTATCAAAACAGAGACACAGACCAATGGAACAGAACAGAGGCCTCCGGAGCAACACTACACATCGACAACCATCTAATGTTTGACCAACCAGATAAAAACAAGCAATGGGGAAAGGATCCCCTGTTTAATAAATAGTGTTGGGAAAACTGGCTAGCAAAGTGAAGAAAGCAGAAAGACCCCTTCCTGACACCTTACACTAAAATTAACACCAGATGGATTAAGGACTTAAATATAAGACCTAACACCATAAAAACCCTAGAAGAAATCCTAGGCAAAACCATCCAGGGAATAGGCATAGGCAACGACTTCATGAATTTGTTTTCTTATTATATTTATGATAATCAGAACAATACATTAATGCTATTACTGAGTTAAATATTACTATATATGTAAACTTATTTAAAACAATATTTTATAATACTTAAATGGTTTTAAAAGATTAGAACATATATTTAGTTTGACAGTTGTTTCATGCCATGCAAGTGAATCTTTACACAGTGACCTGAAAAGCTATAATTTCAACAAATTCAGTGTTAGATCAGCATTACAAATAAGTTTAAGATATTAACATTGATCTTGCATAGATTTATCTACTTACACACCTTTAATTATTGAGACTTTTGCCAAGAGTCTCAATCATGTTCTCCAGAAATGGATATCTGCCTGCTTCCAGCCACCCTTTATCTAAAACCATTGCATGTAATATAACTTACCTTTTTTCTCTTTTGCTTTCTTTTTGTGCCCTATATTATGCAATGTTAGTTTGCATGAAATATGATGTAAAATTATGAAACAGGATATATATATACAACTCAGTGGCTTCAAATTTTTTGAATAATTTATTTCTGTAATACACAGAGAGATTTCTAAAGTGTGACATATGGAAATGAGAGATGAAAAACTGTATGACATTATGTTACAGAAATTACAGAGCTTATCAATTCCAGGAATTACTCTAAACCTGAGTAAAACAGGAGCAACAATTATATGATAATAAACATCAAATTTGTGAATTACTTAAATTTTAAATATAAAACATTGAAATGACAAGAGAACAACAATTAGTTACCTTTTTTTGTAGGCATTGCTCCAATGACAAAAAGCACCCAAGAATGATAAATTTCAAGACAGATTGAGAAATTCTTGCTTGCATCACAAATTAAAAAGTATGTTACCTTGGTAAGAAATAATTTTGCAAATCAGTAAAACAACGAACATTCCTATAACAAAATATCGACATTATATTAATAAGATATACCTAAAGAAGAATATATGAAAACAACTTTAAATGTAATTATTCAAATAGAGTAAAATAAACTATAGACTTTTATTCTATTAAAGTACCAGATATTGAAACAAACAAACGAAGCCTATAACACACAATGTTGGATACTGTTTAGGTAAAGGCTCATGTTCACATACAGGCATTAAAATAGGAATATCAATACAGTACAAATAAACAAGAGATGAACTTGGAATATTTTTATATGCACAATTTTAATGACATATGATAAAAGAAAAATAATTACATGTGGAAAAAGTCCCAATGCTAAGGATCTTCTCATCTTAATGTTACTCACTGTAGCAAAAAATTGCAAATGCTGTAATCAAATACAGGGTAAGTTGTTAAATAAATGGTGGTGTTTCACAATAAAAAATTTAAAATGGTTTAGCAGATTGTTGCTTTTAACTTGAATAATTTTAATTTATTTTCAGTTAAAAATTTTTTGCCCAAATTATGGTAATTTTTATCTATAAATACATAATACTGAATGCTACCTGTGTTTTTTATTAGTAGTAGACTTATGTTGCTTTTAAATTTTTAATTCTGTATCCTACCTTTTGTAACATGGTTTTCCTTTAAAGTAAAGAAATATTGAGTTCCAAACCTGAAAAAAGCATTTAGTGTAAATTATCTTTATAAATTCTTTAAAACATATTATATAATTATTAGTTGTATTTCTATTTAAATTCAAATGGTGCCAGAGAAATAACTTTTCAAATACCTATAATGAAAGAAACATTACACTTTATATTTAATTTTTAAAACTATAGGCATTTGATAATCATTAAATGACCTGGCAAGTGGCGAATACATAAAAATTTACTGCACTAATTACAATCAGTGTACACATATAACAATCACAAAGAAACGTGTGCTAGCATATTTTTTTAATCATAAATTGAAGGAGATGAGTCTACCACAATTGTTGGCCATCTGGCTAGGAAAATTTTCCTGGCATACATGATTATGGATATTAAATATCCTTGACAACTAGTTATCAAATGTGACACTGGCTTTCAGTGTGCATATAGGAGAAAAAAAATAAAGCAGTGCCTGTTTAAATAATAACTATATATAATAAAATGCATTAATGAGTTTGTTGAAATAAACCAAATAGATTGTGTGAAATCAACATATTTTTTAATAGTAATCATATTTGGCCATTAATACAATGTATTTTATTTACATTCAAACTTTTAGAATAAATAAAATAGTAAGCTTGAAATGTATTCAATTAACAGAATAAATTTTTGACCCATTTTATGTTTCTCAAATTTTCTATAGGCAATTTTGCAAAATAGTGTTTTTTAAATGAATCAAATAAAAAAAATAACAAGTGCTATTTTAAGAAAAAAACACTACATTGCTTGGTAAAATCTTGAAAATATTTTTTTAACATACATTTGATCTACTTGTCATGATTAAGAATATTTCAAATAAAGTATATCATTGCATATAAAATTTCATATTTCAAATAAAACATTTTATATACTCATTCATAATAAAACATATATGTTTTAGAAAATATCAAAAATTTTTCCCTTGGCTATTCATCCAGACATAATGTAAACATGTCATTCTTTGATTACTTGGTGCCTATAAATTCCAACTTAGCCAGGAGAATTCCCATCAAACATGTTTTTGAATAGTTTAAACCATATGATTTAGCATTTATTCCTTTTGTTTTTTATTTTTAAATTAAGTTTTAGTATTAATATTTGCATTAAAATAAACTAGTAAGGGTTTGGTAGAACTCCACTCAAGTGTTCTAGTAGTTACACTTGACCATTTAGTTATATCGTCAAGATCATCTGTGACCATAATTCTCTATATAACCCATTCCAGAGCAATGTTCCCAACACCTCCCTTTGAAGTGTGGCCTATTTGGTTGCTTGCCGGCAAGAAAAAGTGTGGACAAAAGAAAAGATAAAATATATTGGTAAGTTTTTTTCCACAAACATGCTGTAGGTTGAGCAATATAAATAATTTATTCAAAGCATAGTCATTAGTATATTTACTTTCAAAACCTGTTGAATTTTAAAAGCTTTGCTCATTGCTGACAAATTATATACTAAACACAGCCTATTGCCATCACCACATAAGCATGAATTTCTTAATGTATTCAACTTTTTTATTAATAACAAAAACTGCTCTTAAATCTCTGAATACTCTTCTACCAATAAATATCAAAATTTTGTCAATTCTTCCTATTATCAAGCTGTTAAAATTATTTCGTTATATGTAATTAAAACTAAATATAACTTATTCAAATTCTTCTCATTTATTCGTTTATACATTTAAAACATAACAATTTTTCATAACTTTTTATGTTACTCAGCAAATACACTAAAGGCCTTGTGTTCCCTATTCTTTTGTATGATGGATGAATTTGTACTCAGCTTTCCAGCTACTTTTTTAAAAGCCTAGAACAGGGCCAGAGTTAGGACATTTTATTCCCTCATTTGAATTGTTATGTAATTTTTAAATTAAATTTGCTTTCATTAATTTCTCTTTTCACCATTTGTTGAAAATGAACAGTGAGGTGATTAAAAGATAGCTAGCAAGAACTAGAGTGGGAGAAACAGATTCCAATAAAAATAAGTGGGTCTTTTAATATTTTTTCAAGGGGCTTTGCTCTAAACATTATATTTCTTTTAGAGTTAAATGATAGAAAAATTTAGCAAAACAACTCAAAGAACTTTCTGTGATTTTTAACTGGCTTTAGAGAGTGAATTCAGACTAAGAACAATGAAAGACAAGGAAAAAATATAACATTCAAATGAGAAATTGAGGCCCAGGAAAATCTGGAATTGATGATAACCTAATCTTATGTTATGTGGGATGTCTGCCTAATTTATTTCTCAGAACCATCTAGGATATTTAAAACAAAGTGACAAATCATTATTATGAGTGGCAAAGGAAGAGATGAAAAATGAATAGCAACATTTTGCAAGAATTTAAGATTTGGAGTGACTTCAAGTAAAGCAAAATTAGCAACTATTATCATAATTAGGCCTAGTTTAGACAAAAGACATACCCATGGCAAGGTCGGCATCTTAGTAAAATGAATGTTAGTAAGATATTACACTTCCTATTATTTTTGTTACTAAGTTACTATTGTCGTCTTTCCTCATTTTGGAAAAGAACTGAAAGTGGAACATCTGCCTTTGATTAAATTGGTGTACCCGTATTTCTGTATGAATCCCAATCATAATTAAAGGTTGCTATTCCTATCTTATCAAAAGATGTTTTGAAAATTACATCTCATTTAGAAAAATTACTTTCTTTTTTATATAATAGTTATACTTTTTTGTTTCTGAAAAATAAAATGACCCATCGTGTAAAGGTTAAAGTAGTTGTTCTGAATACTCTTTAGCTCATGACACCTTTTTTGGCGATAGTTGCCTTTGTGAATTCAGCTAATAATTGAGTATTCTGGACAGCTTTCATATGCTTTTCTTTCTGAAAGTTTATCAAAAGTGCAATATTGTCTAAGAGCTCAGCTCTTTGATTTATGTCTGATACTGCATGGGAGGACTCAGCTAAATTTAAAAGAAAATGAGAGGAGGGAAAAACCTTTCACATTGCTTTTTTTTTTTTTTTTTTTTTTTTTGAGATGGAGTTTTGCTCTTGTTACCCAGGCTGGAGTGCAATGGTGTGATCTCAGCTCACCACAACCTCTGCCTCCTGGGTTCAGGCAATTCTCCTGCCTCAGCCTCCTGAGTAGCTGGGATTACAGGCACGCGCCACCATGCCCAGCTAATTTTTGGTATTTTTAGTAGAGACGGGGTTTCACCATGTTGACCAGGATGGTCTTGATCACTTGACCTCGTGATCCACCTGCCTCGGCCTCTCAAAGTGCTGGCATTACAGGCTTGAGCCACGGCGCCTGGCCCACTTCACTTTTTTATACATTTAGTTTACATAAAATATAAGTATGGTCACAGCTAAACCCTTTTCTTTTTAATCCTCAGACTTGGGCATTTTCTATTATCCTGTCCTTCGTCCTCTTCTACACCTTTAGTTTACAATGTTTAGGAATGTTCTAATAGAGTCTGAATGGTTGCCACACATTTAAAACAAATGTTTTGCAACATTCACCTCAGATTCTCACTGGCATTTGAAACTCAGAATATATAATAGGAACTACATATTCAACATTTTTTTTCTTACATTTCCCATTTCAGACATCAACTCCAGTACCCTCCTAGGCACTCAGCAAGGAACTCATGACTTATTCTTTTTTTTTTAATTTATTATGGAATATATGCTGTTTATTTATTTATTTATTTATTTATTGAAAGAAAAAAGGAGAGAAGGAGAGGAAGAAAGGAAGAAAAAGAGGGAGAGAGAACAGGAATATTGCTTTATTCTGAAAATGGGCATTAATAATGGCCGATCAATGTTTTGTGTATTTAAAGTGGAGAATGTATATTTTGTGTATTTAAAGTGGAGAGATCCATAAATATTTATTAAGTTTACTTGTTCCGGATCTGAGTTCAAGTCCTGGATATCCTTATTTTCTGTCTCATTGAGTCTAAATCTCTTTATGGGTCTTATGTATCTGGGTGTTAGTATCATTAGCTCTTATTGTTGCATTGATCGTTTTACCACTGTATCTTTGTTGCTTTGAAATCTATTTTATCAAATGAGAGAATTGCAACTCCTGCTTTTTGTTTTTTTATTTATTTTTGCTCTCCATTTGGTTGGTAAATCTTTCTCCAACTCTTTGTTTTGAGTCTTTGTGTATCTTTGGATATAAAAAGGGGTCTGGATGTAGTACACCATTAGGTTTTGGCTGTATCTCTTGATTGGGGGATTTAGTTGATTTAAATTTAGGCTTACTGCCATTTGATGTTAACTGGCTATTTTACCCATTCGTCGATGTAAATTCTTCTTTATGTTGATGTTCTTTACTTTTTGGTATATTTTTAGAAAGGCTAATACTGGTTGTTCCTTTCTGTGTGTAATGTTTCTTTCAGAAGTTCTTGTAAAGCAGGCCTGGTGGTAATAAAATCTCTCAGTACTTGCTTGTTCATAAAATATTTTATTTTTCCTTCAATTGTGAAGCTTAGTTTGCCAGGATATGAAATTCTGGGCTGAAAGTTCCGTTCTTTATGGATGTTGAATATTGGCCTCCACTCTCTTCTGGCTTGTAGGGTTTCTGCTGAGAGATCTGCTGTAAGTCTAATAGGCTTCCCTTTGTGGGTAACCTGACCTTTCTCTCTGGCTGCCCTTAGTATTTTCTCCTTCATTTCAACCCTGGTGAATCTAATGATTATGTTCCTTGGGGTTGCTCTTCTTGAAGAATATCTTTGCAGTGTTCTCTGTATTACCTGGGGTTGAATAGTGTCCTGCTTTGCGAGGTTGGGAAAATTTCCCTGGATAATATCCTGGAGAGTATTTTCCAGCTTGGATTCATTCTCTCCGTCACATTCAGGTACACCTATCAAACGTAGATTAGGTCTTTTCACATAGTCCCATATTTCTTGGAGACTTTGCTCATTCCTTTTTATCCTTTTTTTCTCTATTCTTGTCTTCTCGTTTTATTTCATTAAGTTGGACTTTGACCTCTGATATCCTTTCTTCTGCTTGATCAATTCAGCTATTCAAACTTGTGCATATTTCACTAAGTTCTCGTGTTGTATTTTTCAACTCTGTTAGTTCATTTATATTTCTCTCTATATTGTCTATTCTTTTTAGCATTTCGTCAAACCTTTTTTCAAAGTTCTAAGTTTCTTTACATTGGGTTAGAACAAGTTCTTTTAACTCCCAGAAATTTCTTATCATCCACCTTCTGAAGCCTACTTCAGATAATGGCACACAGTCCTTTTCCATCAGGGCTTGTTCAGTTGCTGATGAGGAACTGCAAACCCCTGTTGAGGGAGAGGGGTTCTGATTTGGGGTATTCTTGGCTTTTTAAGCTGGTTTCTTCCCTTTATTATGAATTTATCCATCTGTCATCTTTACAATTACCGCCTTTCTAATTAGGTTTCTGAGTGGATGTCCAAATTATTGATTCCCAGTGCTGGAATCCAAGCAACCCACTGTGCCAGCCAAAATAGCAGCGATAAGACTGATGGTGCTCTTCTGCCTGGGAATCTCTGGTCTGGCTTCCTTCTTGAGTCCGTAACAAGTGGCTCTGCCTTCCTGGAGCTCCAAGCATCGGTCAGTAGGGGAACCAGTCCCGTTTACTCTGCATGAAGAGCTGCCACGCCAAGGTGCCGGCAAAACTGCTGCGCCGGCCACAAGAGTCACGCTGGCGACCCGTGGGGCTCCTCCACTGGAAACCTTCTGGTTTGTGAGCGATGAAAATTCATCTGAAAGTGTGGCGTCCTCTCGTTCTCTGCGCTTTCACTGGGAGCTACAATCCTGAGCTGTTGGCGATCAGCCATCCTGGATCTCATATTTTATATATATATAAAATGCAAAGAAGATTTATTTGCATGCATAGTGAAGAGGGTTAGGAAACGATATAAAAAGCAAAGCAGTCTTCAGGCAAGTGGAACTGATCAGGACTTAGGTAGCTGACTCTGGGATCACTACAATGGGAAGACTTGCTGTGCTGGCCTCAGAAGCTAAGTCTCTTCACCTGACGTCTTAGCAGACTTTTCAGACAGGCCTTTCTGTTGGAGAAACTCTTCAAATAGCTTCTGTCAGTGTTCCAAAAAAGCTATGTTTTCTCCCTGTTTATGTAGGAACTCCACTATGATGTTTATGAGCTCAGTTTCTTCATCCTTAGAAGCTGTGGTTTTCAGGTCCTGGAGGACATCGGTTAACATGTTCTCCAACTGCAGAACAGATTTTAGGGCTTGTAAGCCACTTCCCCAGTTATTTCTGTCGGGCCTCTTAGTAACTGGAAGGCAGATCACACTCTCATGTTTTCTTAGATATCTTAGGAACTGCTTTGCATGCTCCCTTTTCATCTCAGCCTGCTCC